TAGAAGCAACCAAAGAGGCAGTATTAACAAATGGAAAGAAACAAGCGCATGAAAACTTAAAAAGAGAATCAGCCACAATTATCCGTTTAATTAATCAAAAGCCCATTGGATAGACTTACGCAAAATTAAAGATTCTTTTATGAAGCATCAACTTAAAAGGCCAGCAGTTTGGAAAAACATATCCGGTACAAGATGGTACCAACTCCGGTATGAGACCAACATTGGCAAGCACAGGTGAATGAAGCCTGGCAGTATTTGTGCATGCAGCATTTGAATCACAGTTATGCGTCCTAGTGTAGCATTGCGTCTTGATCTACAGAGCAAAATAGAAGTATCATCAATCAAAATGCAAAATGTTGAAAAAGGGCAACACTAGTTCACACACAGAATTATCTGCAAATTTAATTAATAAAACGTCGCTTAGAATCTGCAAATTACGTTAAAATTCTTCTGAAAAAACCAAGCGACTTAAGAGCAGCAATAGATAACAACCCTAAGGTACATGGAATGTTACCAGACCTCCGATAACCAGCATTGAGCACGAAGTGAATGAGCTGCAAAGTATTTGTGCATGCAAGGCATTTGAATCAACAGTTATGCGTTCTCCTAATGTAGCATGTCGTCTTGATCTAAGAAGGCAGACAAAGAGGGATAGTATTAGACAATTGGAAGAAACAACCATAAAACCTAGAAAATGAATAGCCACAAGTTTATCTGATACATATAATGCAAAAGCCAATTGGATATACTAACGTAGATTTAATAGATCTTATATGAAACATCAACTTAAAAGTCCCAGTAGGAAACATACCCGGTACAAGCTGTACCAACTCCGGCTATATAACCAACATTAAAGCCACAGGTGAATTTTTTGAGCTGCAGGTATTTGTGCATGCAGCATATTGCATGACAGTTATGGCTGTTCCTAATGTCATTCGTCTCTGATCTAAGAAGCAACAAAGAAGTATCACAATTATTAACATGAGAATTTAAAAACAAGTCCCATAGAAACACATAAAATCATTGAAAGTTAAAAAAAAGTGTATCTAATTCACATTAAATTTTAAAACACATGAACTCAGAGAGTTATAGATTCTAGGAATAACTAAACCACATGTGACACATACCGTAGAGTACCAACTCCCGGTATATACAAAACCACTTGCAAGACAATGACATGAGCCTGCCAGTATTTGTCAGGCAGCATTTGGAATCCACAGTTAGGCGTTCCCTAATGTACATTCGTCCTTGATCTAAGAAGCGAAACAATAGAGGAATGAATTAAAAATGGAAAGAAACAGCCATAATAAGAAACCCAACAGAATATGCCAAGTTATTTAATAACAAAAAGCCATGGATAACTACGTAGAGATTAAGGATTACAATTTAATGAAGCATCAATTAATTGAAAGCACAGTTTAGGAGATATACCGGTAAAAATGTGTAACCAAACTGCAGGATAACCAAGCACTTACACAGCACAGGTGAATGAGCCTAGCAGTATTTGTGCATGGCACGCATTATCATGACAGTTATTGCGTTCCTAATTATACTTCGTCTTGACTCTAGAAGCAACAAAGAGGCATGTATATAACCAAATGGAAAGAAACAACGCAAATAAAACTTACAAAAGGAACATAGCCTACAATATTATTCCGTTTAATTTATATCAGAAAGCCAATTTGTAAACTACAGGCAAGAATTAAAAATTCTATTAATAAGCTATTAATATAAATGCCACAGTGGAAACGTTACCATACAAGATGTCATACTCCGTATAACAAATGCAAGCACATGGTGATGAGCTGCAGTATTTGTGCACTGCAGCATCTTCGAATCACAGTTATGCGTTCCTAATGTGTATCATCGTTCTTGCATCTACAAGCCAAAATAGACGAGGTAAATCATTCAAAATCACAATGCAAAAAATCTTTCAAAAAGGGCACACTAGTTCACACACAGATTATTTTCTGCCCAAAGAGTTGTAAATATAAAACGTCGCTAGAACCGTCTAGCAACATTACGTTAAAAATTTACTGTCTAAAAAACCAGCGACTTACGCAAGAGCACAGTATCAGAGAATACACATGTACCGTGCATACATGAATGTACCTATGACTTCGCGGTCATATACCAGACATTGCATGCACAAAGTGAATGACGCCTTGCAGTATTTGTGCATGCGCATTGCCTCGGTCATGACAGTTCATGCGTTCCTAATGTACATTCGTCTTGATCTAGAAGCAGAAAAGAACGGTTCAATCAATCAAAATTGCAAACATCTTATAAAACAATCCAGATAGAACTACACAAACAAAATTATCTAGCAGAGATTAATGTAAAATGGAGTCGCTAATATCTATATTTCACATTAAGATATTGTTTAAGAACCAGCACTTCAAGCAGCCCAGCATAGGAGTTAAATGCATAACTAGTACATGATTTGTACCAACTCGGTATAACCAAGCCTACAAGCACGTGTGAATAGAGGCCTGCAAACAGGTATTTTGTGCATGCCAGCATTTGAATCACAGTTATAGGCGTTCCTAATGTACATTCGTCTTGATCTAGAAGCAAATAGACCGATATGGTAATTTAACAATCGGGAATGGTAATAGAAACAAGCCATAAAACCCCTTATAGAAAAGAACGCATCAAGTTATCCAATACATTTAATTTCAAAGAGCCCGCCATTGCCCAATAACTACGTAGACATTATACGATCATTAGAGAAACTATTGACCTAAAACGCCCAAGTTAGGGAACAGACATACCGGTACAAGTGTACAGCTCCGGTATAACCACATGCAAGCCACAGGTGAACTGACCTGCAGTATTTGGCAGCAGCATTTTGAATAACAGTCTATGCGTTCCTTATGTACATTCGCTCTTGATCTAGATAGCAAAAAGAAAGGTATCACTCAATCAAATGCAAAATCCTTTAAAAAAAGTCAACATCTAGAACTACCACCTAATTCATCTTGCAAAGATTTAATCTAAGAAAATAAGTCGCTAACTACTCTATACTCTCACATTAAATTAATTCTAAAGAACCAGCAACTAAGAGTATAGCTGTAGATAACATTATCTGGTATACACGATGTACCAATCCGGTATAACCAACATCTACTAAGCAAACGTGAATGACCTGCAGTATCTTGTGCATGCAGCATTTGCATGACAGTTTATGCGTTCGCTTAATTGCTACATCTCTGTTCTTTGATCTAGAGAGCCTAACTAAAGAGACATGCCCGCCTAACCATGCGACAGAACAAGCCATCCACACCTACAAAATAACAGCCCAAATTATTCCTTTAATTTAAACATAAAGCCATCGGATTAGTAAGTAAAATTAAAAATTCTTTTATGAGCATATCAAATTAAAAGCCACAGTTATGGTAAAGATATATTACCTGTACAATGTCCAAACTCCGGTGTAAACAATCTATTGCAAGCCACAGGTAAATTGAGCATGCATAAAATTTGTGCATTGCAGCATTTGAAATCACAATTATGCGTTCCTAATGTACATTCGTTCTGATCTAAATAGCAACAAAGAGGCATGTATTAACAAAATGGAAAGAATACTAAGCTTAAAACTCAAAGAAAAAGCCACATAATATCCGTTAATTTAATTCAAAAGCCATTAGATAACTACTGTAGAATTATAGATTCTTTAAAAGAAACATTCAACCTAAAAAGTCCACAGTTTAGGAACATACCGTACAAGTCTGTACTTCATGCTTCCGGTATAACCAACCAACATTGCAAGCACAGGTGAATGAGCCTGCAGTATTTGTGCATGCAGCATTTGAATCACAGTTATGCGTTCCTAATGTACATTCGTCTTGATCTAGAAGCAACAAAGAGATAGGTATTAACAAATGGAAAGAAACAAGCCATAAAACATAGAAAAGAATAGCCACAAGTTATCTGATACATATAATCAAAAGCCATTGGATAACTACGTAGAATTATAGATTCTTTAATGAAACATCAACTTAAAAACAAAAGTTAGGAAGACATACCGGTACAAGCTGTACCAACTCCGGTATAACCAACATTACAAGCACAGGTGAATGAGCCTGCAGTATTTGTGCATGCAGCATTTGCATGACAGTTATGCGTTCCTAATGTACATTCGTCTTCATCTAGAAGCAACAAAGAAGGTATCATCAATTAAAATGCAAAAATCTTTAAAAAAAGTCACAATAGAACACACACAAATTATCTGCAAAGATTAATTAAAAAAGTCGCTAATATCTATATCTCACATTAAATTATTTTAAGAACCAGCAACTTAAGAGCAGCAGTTAGGATAACATACCTGTACATGATGTACCAACTCCGGTATAACCAACATTGCAAGCACAAGTGAATGAGCCTGCAGTATTTGTGCATGCAGCATTTGAATCACAGTTATGCGTTCCTAATGTACATTCGTCTTGATCTAGAAGGAACAAAGAGACATGAATTAACAAATGGAAAGAAACAAGCCATAAAACTTACAAAAGAACAGCCACAAATTATCCCTTTAATTTAATCAAAAGCCATCGGATAACTACGTAAAATTAAAAATTCTTTAATGAAGCATCAATTTAAAAGCCACAGTTAGGAAGATATACCTGTACAAGATGTACCAACTCCGGTATAACCAACATTACAAACACAGGTGAATGAGCCTGCAGTATTTGTGCATGCAGCATTTGAATCACAGTTATGCGTTCCTAATGTACATTCGTCTTGATCTAGAAGCAACAAAGAGGCATGTATTAACAAATGGAAAGAAACAAGCCATAAAACTTACAAAATACAAAAGAAAAGCCACAAATTATCCGTTTAATTTAATCAAAAGCCATTGGATAACTACGCAAAATTAAAGATTCTTTTATGAAGCATCAACTTAAAAGCCACAGTTTGCAAAACATACCGGTACAAGATGTACCAACTCCGGTATAACCAACATTGCAAGCACAGGTGAATGAGCCTGCAGTATTTGTGCATGCAGCATTTGAATCACAGTTATGCGTTCCTAATGTGCATTCGTCTTGATCTACAAGCAAAATAGAAGGTATCATCAATCAAAATGCAAAAATCTTGAAAAAGGGCACACTAGTTCACACACAGATTATCTGCAAAGTTTAATTATAAACGTCGCTAGAGTCTGCAAAGTTACGTTAAAATTCTTCTAAAAACCAGCAACTTAAAAGCAGCAGATAGGATAACATACCTGTACATGATGTACCAACTCCGGTATAACCAACATTGCAAGCACAAGTGAATGAGCCTGCAGTATTTGTGCATGCAGCATTTGCATGACAGTTATGCGTTCCTAATGTACATTCGTCTTGATCTAGAAGCAAAAAAGAAGGTATCATCAATCAAAATGCAAAAATCTTTAAAAAAAGTCACAATAGAACACACACAAATTATCTGCAAAGATTAATTAAAAGAGTCGCTAATATCTATATTTCACATTAAATTATTTTAAGAACCAGCAACTTAAGAGCAGCAGTTAGGATAACATACCTGTACATGATGTACCAACTCCGGTATAACCAACATTACAAGCACAGGTGAATGAGCCTGCAGTATTTGTGCATGCAGCATTTGAATCACAGTTATGCGTTCCTAATGTACATTCGTCTTGATCTAGAAGCAATAAAGAGATATGTATTAACAAATGGAAAGAAACAAGCCATAAAACATAGAAAAGAACAGCCACAAGTTATCTGATACATATAATCAAAAGCCATTGGATAACTACGTAGAATTATAGATTCTTTAATGAAACATCAACTTAAAAGCCACAGTTAGGAAGACATACCGGTACAAGCTGTACCAACTCCGGTATAACCAACATTGCAAGCACAGGTGAATGAGCCTGCAGTATTTGTGCATGCAGCATTTGAATCACAGTTATGCGTTCCTAATGTACATTCGTCTTGATCTAGAAGCAACAAAGAGATAGGTATTAACAAATGGAAAGAAACAAGCCATAAAACATAGAAAAGAATAGCCACAAGTTATCTGATACATATAATCAAAAGCCATTGGATAACTACGTAGAATTATAGATTCTTTAATGAAACATCAACTTAAAAGCCACAGTTAGGAAGACATACCGGTACAAGCTGTACCAACTCCGGTATAACCAACATTACAAGCACAGGTGAATGAGCCTGCAGTATTTGTGCATGCAGCATTTGCATGACAGTTATGCGTTCCTAATGTACATTCGTCTTGATCTAGAAGCAACAAAGAGGCATGTATTAACAAATGGAAAGAAACAAGCCATAAAACTTACAAAAGAACAGCCACAAATTATCCCTTTAATTCAATCAAAAGCCATTGGATAACTACGCAAAATTAAAGATTCTTTTATGAAGCATCAACTTAAAAGCCACAGTTTGGAAAACATACCGGTACAAGATGTACCAACTCCGGTATAACCAACATTGCAAGCACAGGTGAATGAGCCTGCAGTATTTGTGCATGCAGCATTTGAATCACAGTTATGCGTTCCTAATGTACATTCGTCTTGATCTAGAAGCAACAAAGAGACATGTATTAACAAATGGAAAGAAACAAGCCATAAAACTTACAAAAGAAAAGCCACAAATTATCCGTTTAATTTAATCAAAAGCCATTGGATAACTACGCAAAATTAAAGATTCTTTTATGAAGCATCAACTTAAAAGCCACAGTTTGGAAAACATACCGGTACAAGATGTACCAACTCCGGTATAACCAACATTGCAAGCACAGGTGAATGAGCCTGCAGTATTTGTGCATGCAGCATTTGAATCACAGTTATGCGTTCCTAGTGTACATTCGTCTTGATCTACAAGCAAAATAGAAGGTATCATCAATCAAAATGCAAAAATCTTCAAAAAGGGCACACTAGTTCACACACAGATTATCTGCAAAGTTTAATTATAAACGTCGCTAGAATCTGCAAAATTACGTTAAAATTCTTCTAAAAACCAGCGACTTACGAGCAGCAGATAGGATAACATACCTGTACATGATGTACCAACTCCGGTATAACCAACATTGCAAGCACAAGTGAATGAGCCTGCAGTATTTGTGCATGCAGCATTTGAATCACAGTTATGCGTTCCTAATGTACATTCGTCTTGATCTAGAAGCAACAAAGAAGGTATCATCAATTAAAATGCAAAAATCTTTTAAAAAAGTCATAATAGAACACACACAAATTATCTGCAAAGATTTATTAAAAAAGTCGCTAATATCTATATCTCACATTAAATTATTTTAAGAACCAGCAACTTAAGAGCAGCAGTTAGGATAACATACCTGTACATGATGTACCAACTCCGGTATAACCAACATTGCAAGCACAAGTGAATGAGCCTGCAGTATTTGTGCATGCAGCATTTGCATGACAGTTATGCGTTCCTAATGTACATTCGTCTTGATCTAGAAGCAAAAAAGAAGGTATCATCAATCAAAATGCAAACATCTTTAAAAAAATTCACAATAGAACACACACAAATTATCTGCAAAGATTAATTAAAAGAGTCGCTAATATCTATATTTCACATTAAATTATTTTAAGAACCAGCAACTTAAGAGCAGCAGTTAGGATAACATACCTGTACATGATGTACCAACTCCGGTATAACCAACATTACAAGCACAGGTGAATGAGCCTGCAGTATTTGTGCATGCAGCATTTGAATCACATTTATGCGTTCCTAATGTACATTCGTCTTGATCTAGAAGCAACAAAGAGATAGGTATTAACAAATGGAAAGAAACAAGCCATAAAACCTAGAAAAGAACAGCCACAAGTTATCTGATACATATAATCAAAAGCCATTGGATAACTACGTAGAAATATAGATTCTTTAATGAAACATCAACTTAAAAGCCACAGTTAGGAAGACATACCGGTACAAGCTGTACCAACTCCGGTATAACCAACATTACAAGCACAGGTGAATGAGCCTGCAGTATTTGTGCATGCAGCATTTGCATGACAGTTATGCGTTCCTAATGTACATTCGTCTTGATCTAGAAGCAACAAAGAAGGTATCATCAATTAAAATGCAAAAATCTTGTAAAAAAGTCACAATAGAACACACACAAATTATCTGCAAAGATTAATTAAAAAAGTCGCTAATATCTATATCTCACATTAAATTATTTTAAGAACCAGCAACTTAAGAGCAGCAGTTAGGATAACATACCTGTACATGATGTACCAACTCCGGTATAACCAACATTGCAAGCACAGGTGAATGAGCCTGCAGTATTTGTGCATGCAGCATTTGAATCACAGTTATGCGTTCCTAATGTACATTCGTCTTGATCTAGAAGGAACAAAGAGACATGAATTAACAAATGGAAAGAAACAAGCCATAAAACTTACAAAAGAACAGCCACAAATTATCCATTTAATTTAATCAAAAGCCATCGGATAACTACGTAAAATTAAAAATTCTTTTATGAAGCATCAATTTAAAAGCCACAGTTAGGAAGATATACCTGTACAAGATGTACCAACTCCGGTATAACCAACATTACACACACAGGTGAATGAGCCTGCAGTATTTGTGCATGCAGCATTTGAATCACAGTTATGCGTTCCTAATGTACATTCGTCT